TTCTTTTCGGCACACCCGTCTCGAGGATCGCGGCCCTGGGTCTCGCAGGGAGCTCCACCGAAGCTTCATTTTGGCACTCACCTCTCAACGACGACGGCTCGTAGACAACCCACAGCCCAACGGCTACACACAGCTTGAAGACGGCCGAAGCACGGCGAGATTCGGAGAGAACTTGGTTAGGGTGGATAGGTCCCCCCCTCTGGGCCTCCTCCGCCAGGAGGAGGAGGAGGCGGAGGAGGAGGAGGAGGAGGAGGAGGAGGAGGACTTCCCCAAACGAAAAAGGGCTAGATTGTAGTAGAGCTGGATCCACCACTAATAGGATTGTAGTAGAGGTGGATCCACCTCTAATAGGATTGTAGTAGAGGTGGATCCATCACTTATAGGATTGTAGTAGAGCTGGATCCACCACGAATAGGATTGTAGTAGAGGTGGACACTAATAGGACTGTAGCAGAGGTGGATCCACCACAAATAGGAATGTAGTAGAAGTGGGCTCACCACTCATAGGATTGTAGTAGAGGTGGATCCACCACAAATAGGATTATAGTAGAGGTGGATCCAGCAGTAATTGGATTGTAGTAGAGGTGGATCCAGCACTGATAGGATTGTAGGAGAGGTGGACCGACCACTAACAGGATTGTAGTAGAGTTGGACCCACCACTAATAGGATTGTAGTAGAACTGGATCCACCAGTAATAGGAATGTAAAAGAGCTGGATCCACCCCAGGATCCGAGAGGACTCCGTAGATTCCGGAGCTTCGCTGGTGCAGACACGGCAAAACGGCATGGAGGATGAGTCCACACCCTTAAGCGAGCGAATTCGCCAGCGGAGCAGGGAACGGAGTCCCAGATGGCTGCTTGCTGGTTGTTGGTTGCTGGTTGCTGGGGGGGGGGTCCGAACCGGCCAACGGGGCACAGACGCGCGGTTCCACCTTAGGGAAGAACGCGGGGAACGAGGTTTGGGACCATGGGGCACTCACGCGCGGTTGTTCCTTGTTGTTGTAAGTCGGGGGCCAGGGGCACAGTCTGACGCTCAATATTTTCCCAGATGGAACACCGGGTGCGAGCCTTGGGATCATCACTTCATTTGATAAAAGAAATTTGCCCATTTGGGCACTGGCCAGGGGGGAACCAACAGAAAATATTCGTTCGGAATCAGCATCCACAGCAACAGCGCAACAACAATAGTCTTTGTACGCTTGTTCGCTCTTACCTGCGCGCGTGCCATTCACCAGGAATCTCCCAAACCCTCGATACCCGCCTTCTTCGTCTTCGATCGTACCCCCTTAGGGGTCTATCATTCTTACCTGCAGCAAATATTTCATGCAGCTCCAACGGCAGTGGAAGAGAGGACGGATGGAAGACAAGGACAAGGGGGAGGGAAGAGGATGGAACACGAAAGAGAAAGTAGAAGGAGGGGGGGCTAGAAGCAGAAAGCACGTGGCATAATCAGATGGGCAGATCGGGTGGGTATATCATAACAGCGGGTTGCTGAATCGCGAATTTCGAGCGATATCGCGATTCCCAAAGAATTCGTGAGATAGGCCACAGCGGGAGCGTGATTCGTGAGTGTCGATTGCGCGGCGTCTGAATACATTGCAAGGAATTCCCACGCGAGAGCGCCATTCCTGCATACATCGTCAGGACGTCTCGCGCGAGATCGCGATTTGGGAATAGCTTGTGAGGAAGTTGTTAGGCGGGAACCGTGGGTGTAACTCGGTGGCCAGGGGCTCAATTCTGAGACTCAAGACTCAAGACTTGCCCTTTGAACAAAAAGGGTGAGAGCCCCAGGAAAGGTATTTCAATTGAAAAAGTACAATATGCCCCGGAATGGGGATCAACAGTATTCATGCTTCAGTCGGGAGAGAACAACATCAAAAGCGCAACACACCAACAGCAATCCGCACCACGGAACCGCACTTCAGCCGTGCGCCCAGGGACAGTGAATGACAGTTCGACCCCTGACTCTGGTGAAGACGAGGAGGTAAGAGGAGGAGGAGGAGGAGGAGGAGGAGGAGGAGGAGGAGGAGGAGGAGGAGGAGGAGGAGAGAGGAGGAGGAGGAGGAGGCGGAGGAGGTGGATGTGGAGGTGGAGGTTGGATGAGGAGGGAGGAGGAGGAGGAGGAGGAGGAGGAAGGGTGCGGAAGAGGAGGTAGGGAGGAATAAGAGGGGTAACGAGGAAATAGATGAGCTGGAGGAGGAGGGATGAGGAGGAGGAGGAGGAGAAGGAGGGAAGGAGGAGAAGGAAAAAGAGGAGGAGGAGGAGGAGGAAGAGACGGATAAGGAGGAGGAGGAGGAGGAGGAGGAGAGGAGGAGGAGGAGGAGGAGGAGGATGAGGTGAAGAGGTGGAGGAGGAGGACGGGGAGAGGGAGGAGGAAGGAGGAGGAGGAGAGGAGGTAGGAGGAGAGGAGGAGGAGGAGGGGAAGGAGGAGGAGGAGGAGGAGAGGAGGAGGAGGAGGAGGCGGAGGAGGAGGAGAGGAGGAGGAGGAGGAGGAGGAGGAGGAGGAGGAGGAGGAGAGGAGGAGGAGGAGGAGGAGGCGGACCCCCCCCCAGGAGCACGGCGCCGGTGCGCTGTCGCTGGAGCCCCGCCCTACCGCCCCGCCCCAGGTTGCGCAGGTGTCAGGTGGCATCCGCTCCCCCACGCCTGCCTGAGATCTGGGATGTTCTTGGCTTTTTTAGGTCTCCTGTAAACATCAGATTCGGGGGGCGAGCTCTACTCGCCGGGGTCCCTACTGCCAAGCGGCCAGGCCCCCCGCTGCCAAGCTGCCAATCGACCAGGCCCCCCGCTTCCAACCCCGACGTTGGGAGTGTTTTGCTTCAGGAGGGAAAAATTACACGCAGACGCAATTAATCGTCGATTCCCCAGAAAATATAGAATATATATATATATATATATATATATATATATAAAAAGACAAAAACATATGGGTTATTTGTCTGTCCCAGGGCCCCTTCATTGTCTGGTAGGAAAAACATCAGGATGAGAGTGCGAGGGCCCGAGCGGTCTTACTTCATCCCTGGGCGTGCGTGGCCGTGGCAGACCTGCTTCTGCTCGACGGGGGGCCCTCGGCGAACGCTTTCTGCGCCGTCGCACCCTCGCTCTCCGCAGGTGCGGGGCGCAGGCTGCGTACCCTAGATTCGTGAGCAGAGGGCAGCAATAAAAAGCAGCATCGTCTCGCCGATGCTCATCCCCGCTGGGCCGTGGTATCTCGGCCCCGCCGGCTCCCCCCCCAGGTGGGGATCTGTCCCTTGAACCCCAAAGGGAGAAGCATGCATCCCCGCCTACCAGGGTGTGTCAGCCAACAGGGTCACACAGCTGGCATGGGGATCGAAACCATTGTATTTAAGATTAGACCAATGGTCCATCACACGATTCTGATAATAGCCGAAAGTCAAACATTCAAGGATTTTCCAGTGGCCTCTGGAGGCCGATGTGACCTCCAGAGGCTTCACTGGACCGTTCTGGAGACCTTCTGTGACCAGAGACCTCCCCCAGAGGCTTCCAGAGACCCGGGATTCCAGCGATTCGGAGAAATCGCTTGTCTTGTTGTGTTCTGGGGCATTTCCAGACCCCTGGGGCCAACACAACAATTGGCCTGGCGACGTACCCAACCCCTGCGGGGCACGAGTAGCTTGGGACTCGTTATACAGAGGTGATGACGTGGCATGGGCGCATCTAATTCTGCGAGCGGAAATCGTGAGGCTCGCAGCCCCCCAAGGATGGCGAGGTCCCGCTCAGATCTGCGTGGTGCCTCACTCCGCTGGACCCGCCAGCAGCCTTCGAAAGTGGCGACAGCTTTGCAGATCGCAGCCCCCCAAGGACGGCGAGGTCCCGCTCAGATCTGCACTGTGCCGCATTCCGCTGGACCCACCCGCAGCCCTCGAAAGTGGCGACAGCTTCGCAGATCGCAGCCCTCCAAGGACGGCGAGGTCTTCTCAGATCCGCGCTGTGCCTGGCTCCGCTGGACCCACCAGCAGCCCTCGAAAGTGGCGACAGGGACGGCGAGGTCCCGCTCAGATCCGTGCGGTGCTTCACTCCGCTGGACCCACCAGCAGCCCTCGAAAGTGGCGACAGCTTCGCAGATCGCAGCCCCCCCAGGGACGGCGAGGTCTCGCTCAGATCCGCGCGGTGCCTCGCTCCGATGGACCGACCAGCGACCCCTCAGCAGCCCTCGAAAATGGCGGCAGCTTCGCAGATCGCAGCCCCCCAGGGACGGCGAGGTCTCGCTCAGATCCGCGCGGTGCCTCGCTCCGCTGGACCCACCAGCAGCACTCGAATGTAGCGGCAGTTTCGCAGCCCCCCAGGGACGGCGAGGTCCCGCTCAGATCTTCGCGGTGCCTCACTCCGCTGGACCCACCAGCAGCCCTCGAAAGTGGCGAAAGGTTCGCAGATCGCAGCCCCCCCAGGGACGGCGAGGTCTCGCTCAGATCCGCGCGGTGCCTCACTCAGCTGGACCCACCAGCAGCCCTCGGAAGTGGCGGCAGCTTCGCAGATCGCAGCCCCCCAGGGACGGAGAGGTCTCGCTCAGATCCGCGCGGTGCTTCATTCCGCTGGACTAACCAGCAGCCCTCGAAAGTGGCGAAAGGTTCGCAGATCGCAGCCCCCCCAGGGATGGCAAGGTCTCGCTCAGATCAGCGCGGTGCCTCGCGCCGCTTGACCCACCAGCAGCCCTCGAAAGTGGCGACAGCTTCGCAGATCGCAGCCCCCCCCCCACTGACGGCGAGGCCTCGATCAGATCCGCGGTGCTTCGCTCCGCTGGTCCCATCAGGCTTTCGACAGTGGCGACAGTGGCGACAGCTTCGCAGATCGCTGCATGGCGGCAGTTTCGCAGATCGCAGCCCCCCCAGGGACGGCGAGGTCTCGCTCAGATCCGCGCGGTGCCTCACTCCGCTGGACTAACCAGCAGCCCTCGAAAGTGGCGAAAGGTTCGCAGATCGCAGCCCCCCCAGGGACGGCGAGGTCCCGCTCAGATCCGCGCGGGGCCTCGCTCCGCTGGACCTGCCAGCAGTCCTCGAAAGTGGCGGCAGTTTTGCAGATCGCAGCCCCCCAGGGACGGCGAGGTCTCGCTCAGATCCGCGCGGTGCCTCACCCCGCTGGATCCACCAGCAGCCCTCGAAAGTGGCGGCAGCTTCGCAGATCCCAGCCCCCCAGGGACGGCGAGGTCCCGCTCAGATCCGCGCGGTGCCTCGCTCGGCTGGACCCACCAGCAGCCCTCGAAAGTGGCGACAGCTCCGCAGATCGCAGCCCCCCCCCCAGGGACGGCGAGGTTGGAGACAGACACCTCAGGCCAGATGCATACACAAGAGGTGCGCACGAGGCGAGACGAGACAAGGGAGGCGGGATGCGGGAGGCGGGAGGCGGGAGGAGAAGTAGACGGAGAAGTGGAGACCGCAGTGCTCTATTCAAAACGAATACACAACTCGAGGAGTGTTGGGAATACGGAAAAGCCAGCCTCGGGGAAGGGGCCGAGGGGTCGCGGAGGACTCCGCATTCACAAATTCACGACCTCGAAGGTCTGAGTTGTCGAAATCCTCCCCCAGACGGCACCGATGAGCGTGCAGGGAGAGGGTGTTTGAGGGGAAGAGAAGAGGGCATGCCAACTACGATCCAACCGATCCGATTAGGTATCGGTTCTGGCCGGCCCGATCCGAGTCGACTCCGATGTGCCGACGGCCCGGTGCGGGCCGATGTGTGAGTGTGTGAGTGTGTGTGTGTGTGTGTGTGTGTTCTGTTGTGCGTCTCGGCTCGGCCGATCCGGTTCGATCTCGACTCCGTGCCGAGGCAGCCCGATCAGAAGCACGATCCGATTCGACCTGATTTTACGATTCGATGCTGACCGATCCTTGGAATCACCACCCACCGAACCACCCCAACCCAACCCGAAGGCCACAATTTGACCTCCCTTTCCAGTGTGGGGGGGTCGGGGAACATGGAACAAACCACATCTGGAGCCCGTACCCTTCCCCGCCCCGAAATTCGGATCTTCGGGTTGGGTTGGGGTGGTCTGGTAGGTAGTCAGGATTCTTTAAAACATAGGGACGACTCGGAGGAGGACGCCAGGGAGGCAGAGGAGGGGTCGTCGTCGACGCTTGCCTTGCGCGGTCCTCCGGGCATGTCCCAGGGACGGATCGCCCCATGCGCGCACGCGCAGCGGCGCACGCCTGCAGGCGGCCTCGGGTCCCATGAGAGGCACCCAGGAGGCCCAGGAGGCCCCCGACACGCCCCCGAGAGACCCCAAGAGGCCTCCAAGCGGCCTACAAGAAGCCTCCAAGAGGCTATCAGAAGCCCCTAACATGGCCCCAACTGCTCCCCAGATAGCTCTCAGAAGCCTCGACGAGACTTCAAGATACCCCTAGAAAAGCCTCCAAGATGGGGTTCAAGAGGGAGGAGGGAGGAGAGGAAGAGGAGAAGAAGGAGGAGATGGAGGACGAGGAGAAGGAGCGAGGAGCAATAACGAGGATAACGAGGCTGCGGACAAGACCTGCCTCAGTTCGGCGCCCTGTCTGAACTCGAGCGGGTCTGAAAGTAAAACGCATGTCTGCTGCGCTGCTGCGCTGCTGCGCTGGCACGGTAATCCGCGGAGTTTACCGCAGGCAGCTGGACATTGCCACTTGTTACGGATGGGTGATGCACGTCCCAAGCTCGACGTAGGCTCCGCCGCTCTCCTTCGCTTCACCAGGGCCAACGTTACGTCCTGGGCCGTGCTGGAAAGGCTCCCTCGGCCAGTTCGAGATCCCCCTCTTGGACCCCTCTTGGGGCTTTCCTCTTGGGCCGTCTTGAGGGCCTCGTGAACCATCTTGAGGCACTCTTGAGCTGTCTTAGGGTCCTCGTGGACCGTCTTTGAGTCCTCCATGGGCCCTCTTGCGCCGTCTTTCAGTTCTTTTGGGCCAGCTCAGATTTTCGAAAGCCCGAAAAAGCGTGCATACCAGAATCTTCGAAGCAAGTTGATGAACATGCATGATTTGGACGTCCTTGGCCTCTTGGACGTCCTCTCGGAGCCCTCTTGGGGCGTCTTGGGGACCTCTCAGACTGACCTGGGGGCCATCGTGGGGCCCTTCTGGAGCATCTGGGGGCCCTGTTGGGCAGTCTTGGGACCGAGGCTTACGTCGGGCCTGTCCCTCTACAGGGGGAATATCCCCAAACAGTCCAAAAATAGCATGGGGACTACTTTTTGACTATTTTTTGACATTTTGGGGGGGCAGTTTTGGGGGTATACCGAAAAACAATCGCCCAACATCCCCCTGTAGGGGGACAGGCCCGACCTAAACCGAGGCCTCGTGGGCCGCGCTCGGTAGCGGCTTGGCGCCGCCTTGGCTGCCTCGACCGCGCCCGCCGGGGCCCCCGTGGCGGTGGTGCGCGGCGGTCGCCGCGCGCGGCGCCGGGGGGCTCCCGGGCGGCCGTGCCGCCTGCCGGGCGCCAGCCGCCCCGCGGCAGCGCCCGGCAGGCGGCGGCCGCGATGCCCCGCGGCGGCAGACGTCGGGGGCGGCAGGGACCCAGACCCCCTCGAGTAGTGAAAAAATCATGACGGCAGGTTTTTCTGAGTTTTCGGCCTCCGGGGGCCCTCACCGGGGGCTACCGCTATTTAATTATTTTTTTTTTTTTTTTTTTTTTTTTATTTTATTTTTTTTTTTACTCTTTACTTTTTATTTTTTTTATTCACCAAATACCTATACTTTTATTTATTTTTGTTTTTTCTTTTTATATTTTACTTTTTTTTTTCTTCTATTTACTTTTTTTTTTTTTTTTTTTTCTTTTCTACTCTTCTTTTCTGCTCCTCTATTTTTATTCATTATTTTTTTTTTTTTTTATTTTTTTTTTTTTTACTTCTTTTTTATACCTTTCCTGATTTTTTTTTTTACCAAACGCTCCTACAATATGGGCAGTGAACATATGCTTGCGTTGGTAGTTTTGTGGATGTTTGTGCCTACCAGCATCTAGCTAGAGCTGGCTTTCTTGTGCCGCGATCCGTGGGAGGGCAGTGCACATATTTACAGTAGGTTTGCGTCGTGTCGACCAGCGGCGACCCCAGCTCGGGCGTTCAAGGTTGAACGCCGCCGGCGGCCCAGAATCGATCGATGTTGAACGATCGGACGTTGCGGCAGCGGCCGATCGTTCAAGGTTGAACGATCCCTGCGGTGTCAAAACCAACGCTGGGGTCGGCACGACACGAACCTGCCGTAGTGCGTTTGGTAGGTTTTTGGTGGATGTTTGCGCCTATCCAGAATCTAGCTCGAGCTGGCTGGGAGGGCAGGCCGTCTTCTCTGCCTCTCTCGGCCTTCCAAAGGGGCGGCCCTCGGGCCCTAGGGCCCTCGGAAGCGGATCCGGGGTCCAGACCCGTACTGTAGACGGACCCCGGGAGGGGTCCTCTCAGACCCCCTCGAGTAATGAAAAAATCATGACGGAAGGTTTTTCTGAATTTTCGGCCTCCGGGGGCCCTCACCGGGCCTCGGGAGCGTCAAAAAACGACTCAGGATGCAGAGCCGGTCATGGGGAAGGGGTCGGGTCCTCTGGGGGTCGACGTAACGAAAAAATCAGTACGTCGGGGGTCTGGGGAGGGGGGTGATGACTAGTGGGGGGGATATCATGGCGTGGGCCATGATATTGTAGTGGCCTTCGGCCAGTGCCGCCGATCCGGGGCGCTCCGACTGATGTGATCCTTCTTCGCCCTCGTCCCTCCTCTCTTTTTCCCTCCCCTCCTCTCACTCAGCATTTATCGAAGACGCCTACGGCGAATCACCGCCGCCCCCTGCCTTTGTGGAAGCGCCTATGTGGCCGAACGTTGAGGCCAGACCTGCAAAGCCATCGGACCATGTGTTCCCCGAATCGGTTTGGAAAGCCTTCGGGGAACACGTGGGCGTCTTGATGGTCATCGTCGCCGTCTTGGAGGCCTCTTGGGCGATCTTTCGGCGATCTTTGGGGGCTCTTGGGCCGTCTCGGGCCGTCGGAAGGCCGAAAGAAGGGAAATGACCAAATCCATCAAAAACCTTGGGAAAATCAGTGATTTTGGCATCTTTTGGCCTTCCTGGAGGCCCTCTTGGGGGCCTCTTGGGCCCTTTTGGGCCAGCTTCGAGCGAACTTCGGCCATCTTGGTGGGTTCCTGGCACGCCTGACGCCGTCGGGAGCCGTTTTGGGGGCCTTTCTGGGCCAACGGGGGACCCTCTTGGGGCGCTCCAGGGCCGTCTTGGAGGCCATCTTGGGCGTCTTGGAGGCCATCTTGGGCGTGTTGGAGGCCTCTTGGGCCGTCTTGGGGCCCTCTAGGGGCCATCTTGGAGGACACTTGGGCCATCAGGGGGCTCTCTTGGGGGCCTCTTGGGCGATCTTGGGGGCTTCTTGGGCCGTCTTGAGCCGTCGGAGAGCCGAAAAGGCGCAAATGCCAAAATCCTTCAAAAACCATGGGAAAATCAATGATTTTGCCCTCTTCGGACTCTCCTGGAGGACCTCTTGGAGGCCTCTTGGGCCGTCTGGGAGGCCTCTGGGGGCCCTCTTGGGCCGTCTTGGGCCGTCTTGGACTCTCTTGGGCCGTTTTGGAGGCCGTCTTGGACCATCTCGGGCGGACTTGGAGGCCATCTTGGGCCATCTTCGCGATTTTTTGAGGATGTCCCGAGCGACACGGCCGTTTTTGGGCATTGAGAGATGGGGTTTGGGCAATTTGCGGGTGGCCGGCGGGACGGGCCGAAGCCCACTGGGGAGTTCTTTAAGAAAAAAAACCAAAACCAAAACCTGAATCATCCAGCACGCCGTGCACCCCTGTGGCAAGACCACAGGGGGCGGCGGATCCAGTGGCCGTCGGCCTATCCCGCCACCGTGCGTGGGTGGTGGGTCAGAGGCCTCATGGATGCTGGTTGGGATCTCGTGGTTGGCTGGGACTTCTGGGGGCCTCTTGGGCGCCTCTTGGGGCTTCTTGGGGGCCTCTTGGGCGTCTTGGGGCCACTAGAGGGCCTCTTGGGGGTCTCTTGGGAGCCTCTTGGGGCTTCTTGGGGGCCTCTTCTGCGCCCATTGGGGCCTCTTGGAGGCCTCCTCGGAGCCTCTTGGTGCGGGAGGGGTGGTACTCGAGTTCGGAACCCCCTCGGAGGCCACGATCCTTGTGAGGGGTGTCAAAAAACGCATCCGCCGGAAACTCGCACCCCCCCCCCCCACCCCTCCTTCCCCGGCAGAGCTACCCCGGCAACCCCCCCAGAGGCTGAGGCTCAGCCTCGAGGCTGTAGCTGAGACTCCTTGAAACTCACACGCCGGATCGGCGGATTTCCGCAGATTTCATGGCGCCTCGTCTCATTTCGTTACGTGCCTGGCCCCCCGCCTTGGGCCGCGCACATGCCGGCGGCCATGATTTGCACCCCTCCCCCCTCTTGGACGCCTCCCTCTTGGCCGCCCCCCCGAAGACGCGGGCGTCGGTGGTGCGCCGGGAGGGGTGTCTTGGGGCGGTGCCCGAAGAAGAAAGAACGACATGAGCGTTAATTTTCGACAGTCCGAGATGCTTTTCTGGATCTTCGCTGGGCCCCCTGGCGGCGCTTTCGGCGCCGTCCCTGGCGCGCAGAGCGCGCCAGGGAGATCTGAGAAATCCGCTCGGACAGTTGACAGTTGATGTGTATGCTGTTATCTTTCTCTATGTTTTGGGCGTGATTGTTTTTTTCCCCCCCACATGTTTCGTCGGGTTCTGGTGTTCTTCCCTGCCGCAACGCACCCGCGTCTCACACCTCCCCCCTCCCCTTCTCCTTCTCGCACCAGAGCGGGTGTGCAGGGGGGTGGTCCCTGAGCTCGGCAGGCGTGGCATTTCCTCGACGCCACAGGGGGTGCGCTGGGGGTGGGGGCCCTATGCGCTGCGTGCAACGCATCGGGCCCCCACCCCCCCAGGGGTGCGCTGGGGGTGGGGGCCCTATGCGTTGCAGGCTCCCAGGGCGTGGCAGGCGTGGCATTTCCTCGACGCCACAGGGGGTGCGCTGGGGCGGGGGCCCTATGCGCTACAGGCTCGCAGGGCGTGGCAGGCGTGGCATTTCCTCGACGCCACAGGGGGTGCGCTGGGGGTGAGGGCCCTATGCGTTGCAGGCTCCCAGGGCGTGGCAGGCGTGGTATTTCCTCGACGCCATAGGGGGTGCGCTGGGGGTGAGGGCCCTTTGAGGAGGAGGACGGGGAGGTGGGGCAGCAGCAGCGGCAGCAGCAGCAGCTGCAGCTGCAGCAGCAGACGCAGCAGCAGCAGCAGAAGCAGCAGCAGGAGGAGGAGGAGGAGGAGGACACCGAGGAGGAGAAGGAGGAGCAGCAGCAGAAGCACCGATGGTACACATGGGAAATTAAATAGGTATGTGGGGGTCCTCGGTAACGTAATTTGCTTTTGGGGCGGGGGGTGTTTTGGGTCTTTTCTTACCTCCTCGGCCCTGGGGTCGTGAACAGAAAGGACTCAGCATGAAGAGCTGGTCCCTGGGAAAAGGTGCAGACCTCCTGGGAGCCACGTTGTGCAAAAAACACGACGTCGGATGTCTGGGTCCTTGTCGTCGTCCTCCTCCTCCCCCTCCTCTCCTCCTCCTCCCTCCTCCTCCTCCTCATCCTCCTCCTCTCCTCCTCCTCCTCCTCCTCCTCCTCCACAAGGGGCAACCCAAGTCGGACGAGAGACCATTGTGACAATAACCAGGGCGGCTGATGTCCGGGTTCCCCGCTCCTTCCTCCCCGTCTGCCGGGCAGCCCTCGCCTCCTGTCGCCCCACCCCCCCCACCCCCCCCCCCCCCGGCCGCCCCCCCCCCCCCCGAGGAGCTGCGGAGCCGGGGTATGCTGGCGCTGGACTTTGGGAACTCGCTTGACGACGACAGCAGCAAGGCCTGTTCCTCCTCCCTCGGCCTTCGAGCTGTGGGCTTCGAGTCTGGCCTCACTCCGCGCCCTCCTCCTCTTCCTCCGCGTTCTCTTTCTCCTCCTCCTCTCCCTCCTCGCCTGACCTTCTCGCCGCTTGGGGGCCTCTTGGGGGCCTCTCGGTGGCCTCTTGGGGGCCTCTTGGGGGCCTTCTGGGGGCCTCTTGGGGCGGAAGGCTCGGATTCCTCTACGCCCCTGTTGGGGCGGTTTTGGAGCGTCGGGGAGCCGAAAAGGCGAGAACGCCAGAATCCTTCTAACACTTTAGGAAGATCCATGATTTTGAAGTCTTGGGGTCGAGGCCTCTTTGGGCGCCATGGGGGCCTCTTGGGACGCCTGGGGCTGCGACAAGCCCCAGGAGAACTGGGCCGAAGGGCTCCGAACCTTTTCAACAGGCCTCAGGAGTGGGGGCTGAGGGGTAGTTTAGAGGACCCGAGGACACGCGCCCATTCCGTGCCACCAGGCTCGGCGGCGGATGGCCTATCGTGGCCGGGCAGCGCGAAGGCGGCCAGGCGCGGCCAGCAGAGGCTCGTTCCCCTCTCGGGCGCCCGGCAGGCCTGAGGGCGTGTTGAGAGTGCCAGCACGTCTGCAGACGTGCCACTTCGTCCTCTTAGAACCATCCAAGGAGGAGGAGAAGGAGGGGGAGGAGGAGGAGGAGGAGGAGGAGGAGGAGGAGGAGGAGGAGGAGGAGGAGGAGGAGGAGGAGGAGGAGGTGGGACCATCTCGAAGCCATCTCGGACCTCCTTGGGGCGATTCTGGATTGCCTTGGAGACATCTTGGGCCACCTTGGCGGCCTTGGTTGCCTGCCTGGGCCGTTTGGGCGTTTCTGGTACGAGGGATCGTGGCCTCGGGAGCTCGGACCCAACGGTTTTGCAGCGCATCGCTGCCTCGGGACATGGGGGGGGGTGTACTCAAGGGCACCCTCGAGGGCGCGAAGTTGTTCGCGCTTCGCGGTTCGGCTCCGATTCCTCCTCGTCCTCCTCTTCTCCCTTGGGAGGCGGCGCGAGAGCGCGTTCGCGCTTCGCGCGTCGCGCAGCGCGAAGCGCGAAGATGGGAGCCCTCGTGTACGCACACGCACCCGTCCGCGGGTAGAGGGGGGGGCGTCTTAGGAGACAGCAGCAGCCATGCTGGACAGACGTTGGCATTTTGCCGCGCCTCAACGTGCCAGGGTGCACCGTGGCTAATCTCAGAACCCTTGGAGACAGTCTGTTGAGGAAAATGGCGGAATGAGGAGGCGGAGGAGGAGGAGGAGGAGGAGGAGGAGGAGGAGGAGGAGGAGGAGGAGGAGGAGATAATACGCTGCCTCAAACGAGGGTTGCCTCCTCTAAGGCGCAGCGCCGATCGCCCGCGGGCCGCGGGGCGCTCAGCGCAGCGCGTGGCGGCCACCCACCATCTCGGCGCCCCGTCGCCGAACGGCCACCGGGGCAAGCCGCCCGAGGCCGCTGCTGTGGCCTACCCCCTCGCTGCGCAGGGGTGATGCGGTGGCTCAGGGAGGCGCCAAGCCGGCGCCTCCGTGGCCTAAGCTTACCCCCTCGCCACGCAGTGGCCGCGCCGCCCGAGGGAAGTCACGTCCTCGGCCACTGGCGCTGTACTCCTCGTAGTACTGCCAGCTCGACCATCTCGTCGGCGTCTCTCGCTGGTCGCCCGTGGCCCTCATCGCACTGCGCCTGGCCTGCCCTCTCATCAGAGGTACCCGTCCAGCCAGTCGCTGCCTGGTAGAGTGCACACAGGCCGGCCTTCCCGCGCCGCCCAGGGGAAGGCACGTCCCTGGCCACAGGCGCTGTCGTCGCCGTGCCGCCGCTTCCGCGCCGCCCAGGGGAGGGCACGTCCCTGGCCACGGGCGTCCTCGTCGCGATGCTGCATCTGCCGCGCCGCCCAGGGGAAGGCGCGTCCCTGGCCACGGGCACCCTCGTCGTTGCACGGCTTCTGCCGCGGCGCCCAGGGGAAGGCTTGTCCCTGGCCACAGGCGCTGTCGTCGCCGTGCCGCCGCTTCCGCGCCGCCCAGGGGAAGGCACGTCCCTGGCCACGGGCGTCCTCGTCGCGATGCTGCATCTGCCGCGCCGCCCAGGGGAAGGCACGTCCCTGGCCACGGGCGTCCTCGTCGCGATGCTGCATCTGCCGCGCCGCCCAGAGGAAGGCACGTCCCTGGCCACGGGCACCCTCGTCGCTGCACGGCTTCTGCCGCGCCGCCCAGGGGAAGGCACGTCCCTGGCCACAGGCGCTGTCGTCGCCGTGCCGCCGCTTCCGCGCCGCCCAGGGGAAGGCACGTCCCTGGCCATGGGCGTCCTCGTCACTCTGCCGATAGGAACGCACGCGCCTTCGGTACCAGCGGATGCCCGGAGACGATAGCGTCTTGAACTGTTCCATTGGCCGTAGCATCTGCACTTATGCAACCGCCGTCGGCTGCGGCGCGTCGCTCCCCCCTCTCCCTGCCACCCCGCTTGGGTAAGGGTACGGGTATCTTTCGCGCTCCAGAATGTCGATTCCGTGCCGGTGCATACCGATGCCACGCGCATTCCGGTTCTACTGGGCTTTATATTAGATTTGATGTTGGTGGATCCTGTTGGGTAAGCTTGGAGAACTCTTCGGGGGACCCATTCCTTGCCACATCCCTCGTCTTCCCCTCCACTGCGCCTCATCGCCCCGTTGGCAGTCATAGGCAACAGCGTGGTGACCCGAAGCAACCGCGAGGGACATCCGTGGCATCATAATCGGCACAAGCCGCAGTATGATCATTTGGAGCGGTGATGAGGATAACGGTGTTGATGTTGTTGCCAAGTGTGTAGGGAGTGCGCCCCAGTTTGTCCCCTGACGCCCGTCGCTGCGATTCGTTCGACGCGTGGGCCTTCAGACTTCTCGACCCCTTCCGTTCAGTCTTCTCGACCCCTTCTCTCGAGCTGCTCCCAGAGGAGGAGCGCCTCCTCGTCAGCGAGGCGACGCCGTCCTGTGCGCGGGTTTGAGGCCATCACAGAGGTTGATGCAATTTGTAAGTGGAATAATCAAACCAGGCAGAAACCCCAAGCACTGGATGGTTCGAAGATTCGTGATCAGGATATTCAGATCGATAGTGAGATCGATAGTGCGGTCGATCGTGCTGACGATAGTAACGTCGATCATGAAACGAATAGTGAAGTCGATTCAGTGAGATCGATAATGAGATCGATTGTGAAATCGCTCGTGCGATCCATGGTGAGATTTATTGTGAGATCGATAGTGGATTCGATTGTGAGATCTATCGTAAGATCGATCGAGAGGTGGTTGGTAAGATCGATGGTGAGACTGATCGATGAGGAAATTGACCATGACTTCGGGGACCAGGACACCCAGGAACCCCGCCGCCCGCCAAAATCGGCCCAGAGCCAGCAACCGGGAGCTGGGGAACCCGGGAAGCCGGAACCGGGAGCCCGGGAACCCAGCCGGCCACCGATATCGGCCCGGGACTTTCCGCCAAATTCTTCACTATCCGATAGGGCCCCTTCAGTTCAAACGTTGGTCTGGGAATAGCCGCTAAGACCCCTTCAGTGCAAGCCCTGAGGGGGGAAAACCCTTTCCTGGGCGTTGTATATCCCAACCAGTTTTTTGACGGTCCCGAGTTCCCAAGCCAGCATCCGGATGCCGAGGGTGGCGGCGGACCGGCCGCCTCTTTTGTTTCCCCCAGGCGCCAGACGTATGGGATCCAACCTTTTTGACTCGATCCCTGGATATACCCTGCGGTGCTCTCTGGCCAGAACATCTAGGGCCACTACGAGAGCGCTTTCAGAAAGGGGCGCGAGTCCCTCATCCTGTTCGGGTGGGGCGGCGCGAACACGCGAAGGTAATCGCGTTTCGTGCGGCGCGAAGCGCGAAGATAGTTGCACTAGAATATATCCTGGTGCGCGTTCTGGCCAGAACTTCGAGCTGATCGGATGGGGCTTGGACGAGGAAAGACTCCGTTCCAGAGCGTTCCAGAATACTCTCAGCGTTTTCCCGAACGCTCTGGGAAGGCAGCGGCGCCCGACACATCTTCAGAGCCGCAGATCTCAGAGATTGCCGATCCTCGGCCCAGTGTATCCTTGTCCTGGCTGCGTCTCCTGTGACGAGGAGGCCTGGAAACTACTCCAAAAACGTTCAGCCCTCAACGCCTAATGCCTTGGAAACAGTCGCGACCTGTGCGGTCGGACGCATCACAGGGCTGGACCTGAACGCTGTTTTGCTGGACATCGGCTGTGTTTTGTTTTTCATTGTTGGGATGGAGGTGCAAGAACTCAGGTAGAGCAAAACGAACAACGAAACGAAAACAAAACGAAACACAACGTTTAGCTCCAGCCCTGGCGCATCATTCCAGGCCGCCCACATGGGTTCCCAGTGGATGAAGCCGGAGGATGGCGCCGCATCCCCGATGCATCGCCCATGCGGTTCGGTGTGGAACCAGATTTTCTCCGCGCGGGCGTCGCCGATGCACCGCCGACGTCGCCGTTACCTCGGCGATTCATCGGCGATGCATCGGCGCTACATTGAGGATGTTGAAACGGCGGGGTTGGTGACGTCTGAATTATGTCCGGCGGGCGGCCCTTTCCGCACGTACACGTGCTAGACCCCCCCCCAGAGGTATTCAGGTTCGTTCTTGCCCCCCAAAACGATTGCATCGCTAGAGCCATGGCCGCCTGCGCAAACAGCAACAACATCATCTGCCTGGTATCCCTCTATATAAAAAAAACTCCCCCCTCAGCCTCGTATCCTTCCTTTTTCCCTTATCAGCTTGCTATCCCCCAAGCCAGCCATCTCATCGCCCTGGCGCCGACTCCATTTCAAAAACTATCCTTTTCAGCCTCCTTTCCTTCATTATTTCCTCCTCCTCCTCCGATGTCTCCCCTGCTTCCTGCCCGCGCGCTTCTCGATTCCTCCAATCTCCACCCGTCATACTATTTGTCAGCACCCCTCTCTCCCTCTTCTCACGTTAGGGTATCAACGCTGTCTCCTTCTTTCTTTCATCG